CGGGGCTCGGGGGGATTTTCCCGGCTCGGTCCGTGCCGGCGGCTCCGGGCGCGGTGTCCAAAGGTCGCTCTCGCCGCGGCGCTCGGAGCCGCCGACCCCCGACACCTCCGCTCCCCTGCGGTTCTTGCTGGATTTCCCACCTGGGGAGCTGTTCTGGTGGCATTCCGGAGCAGCTCGGGGGGGCTCTGAGGGGGCTCGGGGGGTTTGTCTTGCTCTGACGTCCTGTTTTCTTTCAGATGAAGGATCTGCCTGGCTTTGGGACACGGCAAAGGCGGGGGGCAAAGGACAGGACCCTTAAATTCTTTCCCTAAAGCTTAGCCCGATAGGTATATAAGATCAATAGAGCTTAAACCGGGGTTGGCTTTTAGTCTAAGCTTGGGTTTGGTTTAATTTGTCTTTATTTTATTATTTTTTACGGTTCTTTTATTCATTTCTTTGCTTTTTTGGCCTCTTTTATTCCATTTTTGGCCTCCGGTGGGGAGCTCAGCAGCAGAGCTTGCACAAATCAATCCCCTGCTGCTTCCTAAACAGATTTTGGGGGATTTTGGTTTGAGGAGGGGGAACCCGTGCACCAACCTGCTATGTTTTGGGGGGGCTTCAGCCCCTCCCTGGTTGGAACACAGTGGGGGGTTGTAGGTATTTTTCAGTCCACCAAGAAGCTGGTGCTGAGTGAGCAAGCGGGACGGGAACGGGCACTGGAATTCCTCCGGAAAAACGCGGCTAACGGACTCTCCGTGGCCAACCTCCTGGCTGGGCTTTCCTCCATCCTCTGCACTGTCAACAGGTGGGGGAAACTGGGAAAAACGGGGTGAAAAATGGGGCTGGGGAGTGGGGGTCACCCTGGTTGCGCTCGCTCTGTGGCCAAGCTGGTGGCCAGCCTCCCCTCCAGCCTCTACAGCATCAATAGGTGGGGAAAAAAAAGGGAGAACAGGATAAAATGAGAGGAAATGTGGTGAAAAGGATGCACAGAAATGTGGGTCACCCTGTTTTTTCTGGAAAAAGTGGAAATGAGAGGGCAAAGATGGTAGAAAAGTGGTTTGCCCTGATTTGCTGGAAAAAGGGGGAAAGGGGGGAGGAAAAATGAAAAAGGGGAGAAAATGGGGTAGAAAAGTGGGGGCCAGCCCAGTTTTGCTGGAAAAATGGGGGAATGGGGGGAAAAAAGGGGGATGAAAAGTGAGACACTGTGGTTTGGCTCTCTCCATGGTCAAAGACTCCTCACCTTTGGTCTCTGCAGCATCAATAGATGAAGGGGGAAAAAGAGGGTTGAGAAGTAGGGGTCACCCCAGTTTTGCTCTCTCTGTGGCCAGCCTGATGGCTGGGCTTATCTCCACCACCAATAGATGGGGTAAACAGAGGAAGAAATGGGGTGAAAAAGAGAGGAACAGGGGCTGAGAAGTGGGGTTTTCCCCCCCAGGCAGTACCAGTACTCCTGCTGGCTTCTGCTCCTGGGCTTCCTGCTGGATCTGGCCGATGGGGCCGTGGCCCGGCAGCTTGACGCCTGCTCGGCACTGGGTGAGTGCGTCCCCCCCGGCCCAGGGGTGACCCGAGGGTGTCCCCTGTGCCCGGTGCCCACCTGGCACCTGCCCCTTGCTGCCCCCACAGGTGCCAAGCTGGATGACTTTGCCGATTTCACCACGTTCGGGCTGGGCACGGCGCTGCTGCTGCAGCCCCAGGGTGTGCTGGGGGGGCTGCTGACCCTCGCCTACGTGCTGGCCGTCTTTGCCCGCCTCTGCTTCTTCTCCAGCGGTAAGATGAGCCCCTGGGGGTGGGGAGTTCGGAGTTTTTCCCCCTACATTGAACTCCTGACACCCCACAGGGATCCCCTTCACCTACCGGGGGCTGCCCTGCCCCTACGCCTCAGCAGTGCTGGCCAGCACCTTCCTGCTCACCGGGGGACATGTGGCCCTGCTCCGCGTCGCCGCGGCTGCCATGATCCTGTTCATGGCCGACTGCGGCTTCTATCCCCACGACAGGGTGCTGGAGTCTCAGCTCTGGAAGAAACTGGTTTATGCTGGAGGTAAGGATGGGGATGAACCTCTCAGGATGGTGGTAGAGGGGGAGGAAAAGCAGATCCCCAAGGATTTTCCCGCTCCATAGGGGTGGTGGCTGTCCTGCTAGCACCGACGGCGGTGGCTGCGGTTTATTGCCTGACCTGGGCCACGTCCTACATCGTCTTCCCCTTCGCCCTCTGGAGCTGCAAGGCCTGAGCCCTCCCTAGAGCCTAGTAAAGTCTTCCTCATCCTCATCCTTATCCTCCTCGTCCTTGCTCTGGGTTCTGCTTCCTCCCTTCCCTCTTCCCACTGGATCTGGGTGGCAGGAGCCTGCTAAGGTAAAAAAAGAGAAAAGCTCCCAAAAATCCCTGTCCTTTGGGGGAAGCAAGGGAACCCCCATCACCCCACACCAACACTACAGACCTCCAAATCCTTGGGAAATGGGAAATTAAGAGTTTGCCCTAACAAGAGACCCCCAAGCCCTTCTCTGCACAGGAAACTGAAGTTTAGGGATTGCTCACACTGCCCAGTGAGAATTCATTACAAAGGGAGCTCCAAAAATGAGGAAGGCCCTCCTTGGGTAGGAGGAGGAAGATGCTGATCAGACCTCCAGAGGATTTCCGACATAGGATTCACTGGGAACAGTTTGGAGTTTACCACTTAATCTGTAGCTGCAGGGAAGTACCATCCCAAATGTGGTTTATTTTCAACCCCTCAGTGTGACACTGCTGGGGCAGGGAAAGGGGGGAAGCAGGACTTGATCCAAAGTCTCTGGAAAGCCAGAGGCTGCTGGACAGCGGCGGCTGGAGCACAGAGGGTGTGGGTGGAGGAAGGAAGCAAAGGTCAAACCTGGTGCTGGAGAAACACTCAGGATCCCCAGGGAGGCTCTGGCAGCAGGAGCAGCTGCAAGATGTAGCTCCTGCTGCATCCCTCCGGAATAAATCCCAGCTCCGGGAGGGCAGGACCCTTCTCCACAGCAGGAAATGTCGGGATGGGGCCATGGCTGGAGCTGGCACCTGGCGCCACAGCTGCTTTGGCATCGGCCCTGCTCTGGCCTCCCCCACACCATTCCCCACCCGCAGCAAACAGAGCCGGGAGACACAGAACCAGCACAGAGTTTATTGATACAAAAAGGGCGATTTGATAATAAATACCGGGGGGGTTAGAAAAGGGGGGGCAGGGCAGGGGCCGGGCTGTCATTCCCCGGATCCCTGCATCTGCTTGCAGAAGGAGTCGAACTGCTGCTGCTCCAGCTCCGTCATCACCCGGTTCAGGGCATAGATCTGGGATTGGGAAAGGGCGGATGGAAAAGGGGGGGTTCGGCCGTGGGTTGGGCCGTGTCCCTCCCCAGTCCCTCGTTCCCACCTCCGCCCGCTGCCGCTGCTT